GGTTCATCATGGACATTAACTTAAGTGTCTACATACAGCTATAATCAAATATGCATGTGTAAGAATAAATCAGAAGCCAATCTGTTGTGTGTACAGATGCAGTAATCTGCTTTGTTGACTATTTCAGATATATTTATGGCAACATGGTGAGTTAAACAGAACTTACAATGGCTGATAATGCCTATATTGTTAGCTGAGAGTGCATATAGATTTATGTGGGTCGGGATTACAGTTGACATTACAAAAATATTTATCTTTGTGTATATGTGTATTTCATGTGTATATGTAAAGAAAAGAACTAGAAACATTTACTCACGATCCTGCTCATGGAAACACATTTTTCTCCTTCAATCTCACATCAGAGGGTTTTTTGCTGCTGTGATGTCCAAGCCAAGGGCAAAACTGAAATAAATAATAAGAGTTATTTGAACATAAAGGCAACACATTTGTGCCTGACATCTGAATACGCTGTGGAAAAGATAACAAGGGTATAGATCTCTATCTTAAAGGTAAAATAGATCAATGAAACCAACACTAGGGACCTGCAGTCTCCCATGGGGGCATTTAAAGGAATTATGCACTACCAAATGAAATTTCTTTCAATATTTAATCACCTTCGTGCCATTCAAAACTGAGTGACCTTTTTTTGTGAAACACAACAGAAGAAATACTCTGAGCTGACACAACTTAATGGTTTTCTGTGTTATATTGAGATACACGAGAAAAGAAAAAGAAAGCTTGTGGCCCTGTTCACACCTGATATTAATATGTGTTTCTTTCAATCCAGTCACAATGCTAAATTAAGACAAACATGTTCTGAAACATTCTGTGCTGGTCAGCTTCCAGAAGTATTAGTGCAGAAAAAGCTTTTTGTAGTGTAGTCAAAAAAACTAGTCTCCAACTAGAGAACTACATTTTAAATATTATGATACAGAGGATGACCAATATACACTCACCGGCCACTTTATTAGGTACACCTGTCCAACTGCTAAATAATGCAAATTTCCAATCAGCCAATCACATAGCAGCAACTCAATGCATTAAGGCATGTAGACATGGTCAAGACGATCTGCTGCAGTTCAAACAGCTTTAGAAAGGGCAAGAAAGGTAATTTAAGTGACTTTGAATGTGGGGGGGTTATTGGTTGCTGACAGGCTAGTCTGAGTATTTCAGAAACTGCTGATCTACTGGGATTTTAGTGGACCGGATTTAAAGAGAATAGTCTGAAAAAAAGAAAAATCAAGTAAGTGGCAGTTTTGTAGGCACAAATGCCTTGTTGATGCCAGAAGTCAGAGGAGAATGCCCAGACTGGATCGTGCTGATAGAATGGGAACTGCAACTCAAATCAACATTTGTTACAACCAAGGTATGCACAACACATCTAACCTTGAGGCGGATGGGCTACAGCAGCAGAAGACCACACTGGGTGCCACTCCTGTCAATGAAGAACAGGAAACTGAGGCTCATTTTTGCATGATTGCATGAGTCTCGATTTCTGCTGCGACATTCGGATAGTAGGGTCAGAGTTTGACAACATGAAAGCATGGATCCATCCTGCCTTGTATCAACGGTTCAGGCTGGTGGTGGTGGTGGTGGTGTAATGGTGTGGGGGATATTTTCTTGGCACATTTTGGGCCCATTAGTACCAATTGAGCATCCTGCCAATGTCTTGGCCTACCTGAGTATAGTTGCTGACCCTGTCCATCCCTTTATGACCACAGGATAACGCGCCACGTCATAATGAGTTCACTGTGCTCAAATGGCCTCCACAGTCACCAGAACTCAATCCAACAGAGTACCTTTAGAATGTGGTTGAACGGGAGATTCACATCATGGATGTGCAGATGACAAATTTGTAGCAACTGCGTGATGCTATCATGTCAATATGGACCAAAATCTCGGAGGAATATTTCCAGTAACTGGTTGAATCTATGCCATGAAGGAGTAAGGTGTTTCTGGAGACAAAAGGGGGTCCAGTCTAGTACTAGTAAGGTGTACCTAATAAAGTGGCCAGTGAGTGTACATGGTCAATTATATTTTATCCCACTTCATCTTATAAAATCTAACTTTTTAGTTGGTATTATAATCAAGTGATTCTATTAAAATAATATTAAGTTTGACACGTGTATACCAATGATGTAACTTTAGAGACAGTCCCTAAATTTGTGACTACCACACTTCAGATTGGGCGACGCAGTGGTGCAGTAGGTAGTGCTGTCGCCTCACAGCAAGAAGGTCACTGGTTCGAGTCTCGGCTGGGTCAGTTAACATTTCTGTGTGGAGTTTGCATGTTCTCCCCATGTCCGAGTGCTCCAGATTCCCCCGTAAGTTCAAAGTTGTGGTACAGGTGAATTGAGTTAGCTAAATTGTCCGTAGTGTATGTGTGTGAATGAGTGTAAATGGATGTTTCCCAGTCATGGGTTGCAACTGGAAGGGGATCAGCTGCGAAAAAACGTGCTGGATAAGTTGGCGGTTCATTCCACTGTGGTGACCCCAGATTAATAAAGGGACTAAGCCAAAAAGAAAATGAATGAATGCATGAATGAATGAATGAATGCATGAAACTTCAGATTGAAGTGTATTAAGCTTATGTGTGATAAAATTGGTAAAAAAAAGAGCACAGAAATAACAATAGTCTTAATTAAGACTGCCCACTAATAGTCTAATAACCATTTGTTAAAAAGAAAAAGGCAGTCACAGAAAATAATATATTTAAAATCATATTCTTAGCATCATATTAAATCAAAAGCAAAATAAAAGGCTAGATTAAGGGGGGAAGTGATAAGAAATTAGATTTACAGCTTTCTTACCAATCTGAACAATCAGCCAAACTCTACAATTAAGTGCACTAGACAGACTGCTGTTTGAATTTATAACTTTGGTTTCAAGACAAAAATTTTAAAAGAGTATGCTTATGCTAGTCTTGATTCAAACAAAAGCCCACAGCATTCAGCGTGGTTTTGCAGGTAGATGTAACAATAAAGCTGCTGCTCTCCATATTGTTTTTCGTTATCTCCAATCACATTTATATGTAAATTGCACATGGATGTAATTGCCACTATTAGTGACAACAAAATAAGAAAACAAAAACTTTCATACAGATTCCATATACCCTCTACTTAAATAAATCAGGAAAGTAGACAAATGAGAGTGATTAAAACTATAGTTTAGCCAAAAATGGACATTTACTCAATTGAGGTAAAAGTTGGTTTTATATTCGCACATTCAGTTTTTCTGTTGTTTTGAAGTGAGAGTTGCATGTGATTTCAGTCCGAAAATTCAAAGTACCATAATGAACAAAGTATAGAGCTATAACTGAACAAATGAGCGAATATAAAACCAATTTCACCTCAATATTTACTAGCTCTCTAGTTGATCCAAACCATTATAAGTATTTTTTATTCATTAATTCATTTTCTTGTCGGTTTAGTCCCTTTATTAATCCAGAGAATGAACCGCCTATAAGTATATTTCTTCAGAAAAACACAAAAGAAGATGCTAAAAAACCTTTTAACCGTTTTTTATATCCTCTTCCGTGTTTAACATAAAGGTTTGAAAAGAGTAACGGGAGAGTAAATTATGACAGACTTTTCATTTTCAGGTGAACTATCCCTTTAAGACACCACGTGTAAACATTAATACATCTCCCTCCTATTCTTGTTATCTGATCAACCAACAGTTCCATACTTACAATAGGTTCCTGGTAGGCCTTCTTTTCACATCTCGCAATCAGGTTTTCCCAGCTGCTATCCTTGGGCAAAACAAAAAGGCCTGGATATGAGTTATTTGGACACCCTAATGTGTGGACGATTGAACAAAAAAGTCAAAAGTATCTGTTTTTGTTCTAATTGAATTTCTGCCAACAAAGCTGCAGAGCACATGGTGTAGAAATACACATAATTCATCGTTTGAAAAGTGTGTGCTTCCTATCCTTCATGCTGGAAACAGTTCACGCTTCGCCCTGTTTACATGTCACAGGTTGCCCACCTGATCAATCTGCATCCTTTGCTCACATGAAAAGCTGCGTCTGGTGCTATGACGACATGTTTTCCCGTAACATTTGCTCTCCCTGCTTCTGTCAGGTTTCGACGGTTTCCATGAGGAACAGCTTTAGCATCAGAAGCCTCCCACTCCCCGCCCTCGAGCTGGAGAAGCCGGAGTCTGAGCGCGTGGAGCAGGTGTCCGCCCACGAGCCAAACGCTGGAGGAGCACCGAGAAGCAGAAGCGCGTTTTCCAAGCGCACCTCCGGTTGTTTGGCGCCAAATGTCTTTGCAAGCACAATTTACATTCAAATTGATGTCGCATGCTGCATTTCTTTTTAAATATCCATCAAAATTGCATGTTTTGCAACCTGAAATAAATGAATTATAACACATAAAAACATTAATCAAATTATTAATCAGAAAGAAAACGGTTAAATAAATAAATTACATTTACAGATCATACAGTATAGCTGCATATATATTTTTAATAATGCAATAATGTATTAGACATAACATAAACGTATTAATTTCAAACTAGAACTGTTAGCTTTTAAATTAAGCAGATATATTTATTGTTTGTTTGTTATGGGTATATTTATTTATTAATTTATTTATTTTTAGTTAAAATATAATAAATAATATCAGTGATATGTATCAGATATTTTATCTATGATATGTTTATTGCTTTGTATTTAAGTTAAATTGTTTACATTTTATGTTCATTTTGTGCCACTGCATCATTATTATTATTATCATTATTATTTATTATTATTATTATTATTATTATTATTGTTATTATTTAATAATAAATTATAAGGATTTAAAAATAAATATTTTTCTTAACAATTCTTTTAATTTTAATAAATAATAAATAAGAATTTAATCGGCTTTGAATGGGTTAATCAGCTGCCTCCGTGCTCGCTCTCTCTCTCTCTCTCTCTCTCTCTCTCTCTCTCTCTCTCTCTCTCTCACTCACTTTCTGTCTTTCTCTCTGTGCGCGCTTCATTTTCACTTTCTCATCGTTGTGTCTCCTTCATTCTGGTGTGACCCACGCAATGCTGTTGCTCCACAAGGGGGGGCTGCTGGATATATGCTTTAGTGCCCGACTGCCTGCCTTCAAACACTGAATCCAGTTTGTGTGGACAGAGCGGGCGAGCAGAGCAAGACTCCCACTGCCGAGAGAACACCCGATCTGGTCTTCACTCACCGCACACCTCCCTGGAGCATCGCACACCACTTCTGGACTTCTTATCCGGAAAACGGGATAACAATTTTTCCCACTTGCGGGCTGGATTAAATAATAAAGATTTGGGAGACAGAGTTACATTATCAGAAGTGACAGAACAGAAACACACATTAACTGGATCCGCTGTGAATTTATGGATGCTTGTTGCTTTCTTTCGGTCTTCTTCCACTGGAGCAAACAGACCTCCTTTTGTGTCTTTCTTCAAGCCTGTTGAAAGAATGAATACACCGAACTTATTCTGAACAAGTTGGAGGAATAGTCGAAGGCTTTTTTATGTGCAGACAAACAGATGGAGCATGCCAACTTTTTGGAGGTAAACCTTCGTTCTGATAGTCTTGAATGTGATTGTAGACCCGACATTTTCCTGATTTTAACCTTAATTGACTTGGTAAATGAAATGCGTTTGCTTATGCATCATCTTATATGCATGCAATTGAATATAGTCTCATAATATTTATGCTTTGCTAATAATAATGATCATCTTTTACGCACTCTTTTACGCACGCATTAATGAATTCGAGGGTTGTTCACAGAAACTCTGTTGCAACCTTTGTCCTAAATATTTATAGTTGTGATATCAGATAATGACATGACAGATCTGTATGATTCAGTTAGTAAGATTCCTGAACTCATATATGTTTATATTTGCGCTTGTGGGCAGTCTGCTGTCGCTGTCCAAGGTACTGTAGCAAACTGCGGTGTTGACCAGTCCAGTGTCCACTGGTCAAAACAGTTTTGACATAAGAACTCTGTCCCAGAACAAATCTTATTTGACCCTTTTAGCTTGGCTAGAGTATTTGTAGCATTTAAATGCTGTGGTATTACGTTGTGCGCAATAGTTCCTGCTCGTATCTCTCTGGAGTGGGGAAAACACCTTCCTCCTTTCCATCTCGTGTCTACTTTTCTTTCCCTAAGCAACATGGCCATAACCAGAGGACATTTAACATTTTGCCAAGCATAACCATGAAACAAAGTTTTATATAGTGAGTATTATAGCTTAATTTAATGTATATTTTTTTCTACTTTTTCTCTCTTAATCTTTTTGGTCATCTTAAATCGATTCACTGTGTAATTTCAATGAGACACTGCATACTTTACAATGTCCCTGATATTCGGTAACGTTTATACAAAACGATTTGCTTTGGGAGCATGTTAATGTGATATAATGTGACATCTAGTCTACTTTAAATATTATACCACAACCTGCAAGTCACTTGATATTAGGATTGAAACACTTGTGATATAAAGGCAGTGCAGCGTTCAGCAGCTCATGGGGGGGAAAAGAAATGCTTGAGAGCTCGTGTTTTGTCCGGTTCAGTGATGTCTCTATTCAACAATGAGAATAGAAACCCAACTGTTTTGTCTTTCAAAACCTCTCTTTATCTTTCAATTGCATGGTGGGATACTTTATTTGCGAGCATTAATGCATAATTAACCTAAAAAATAAATATATTTTAAAAAGTCTTAGAAAAAAATCTAACTTGCAATTTAGTATTGATTTACACATCTGACTTTAATTTAGTTATGTAAAACTGCCTTGTCATGTATGGCTCGCAAAGTCTAAAACAGGCTACATTATATGCGCCATTTATTACGCCGCGACAGTGTAGAAAGTTCTCGTTTGGTGATAATAGATGTGGTTTGCTGGTGTTTGGCGGAGAGTGAGCAGAAGTTCCGTGTTTGTACAGTAGGGGGGACTGTGCCAGCGCTCAATTCCCTCCGCGGGAATACGGGAATAAACGGCGATCACGGAACAGGAGATGCTTCACTGCGCACTTTCAGACACCGGAGAGCCTCTGACTGCAGCACAGGCCATCCGAAACACACACACAAACGAACACACACACACACACACACACACACACACACACACACACACACACACACACACACACACTCCCATCAATAAGCCACATGACTTGAGACTTGAGAAACTTTGTAATTTGGGCTCCAATTATTGCTTTAAAATGATTATTTTTATTGATATTATTGTTATTATTAATAACAAGCCAAATAATTATATCATAATAAATAAAAATACTTAAATAATGCTAATATTAATAATAATAATAATAATAATAATAATAATAATGATAATAATAATAATAATAATAATTATTATTATTATTATTATTATTATCATTATTATTATTATTATTATCATTATTATATAAACTATATTTTATTAATGTAGTGCCCCTTGTTAATTAATGAATTAATGTCAGTTTATACTGTACATAAGCATCTAATGGACCTATTATAAACTCAGATTTATAATAAAGCAAAAAAAAAAAAAAAATCATAATATTTGATATCAATACCATAATAACAAATATGGAAACCAAAGTCATATGATTTAAGCTCTCAGTAGTATTATTTAAAATACATTTCATAATAAACAATTAAGAATATCAACAAACAATTTTTTCTTGCATCATCATCAAAAAAAAAAAAGATGTGATTTTGCAGAAATATTCATGTCACAGTCTTTGTGTGAAGTCGCATCAGTTCCGCTTGACTGTCTCTTTTAAATACATGTTTTCCGTGCGTCTCCGGGGAGTTTGGAGCTTAAGAGCGCAGTGTTTACCCTGTGGCCACAGATATTTGGACGCCTGTGTTTTCTTCATCTGAGGAAAAGGAGTAGAGATGATACATTGAGAATAAAAATAGATCAGTCTGACAGCAGAGCTCTGAATCACGAGCCGGGGTGAAATTGGGCAAGCTGGCATTATTGGCTGTTTGGAGGGCATTCATGCAAGCCTTTTAACCTACATGTCCCACTTTTGTCTTTCTCCTGTATATCCTTATTCTGACATGTCTTATATCCATTTTCTTTTCATCTACCAGTTTGTGTGAGCCAGATGAATCAGAACGTTTAATCTATAGACTATAGATTATATTCTGTGAGATCTCAAAAAAAAAAAATAATAATAATAAAAAATAATTAATAATAAAAATAAGTACAATACTAAAAAAAACAATAATACTATATAAAAATATATATAATTATTTTATATAAAAAATGACCAAATCAATAAATATCTTCATTAAAAATCTGCAATGAGATATTTGGAAAATATTAATAATAATAATAATAATAATAATAATAATAATAATAATAAAAGCCATATGATTTGATCTTTTGATTTTAATAAAAAATAAAAATGAGACATTTTTTTTAAATGATGAAAAAATTATTATCATTAACAATAATAATATATAAAAAAGCCATATTATTTGAGCTTGCAATTGTAATCAAAACACTTATACAACTTATAATTTATTTTATAGGAAAAAAATTGCACATTAGCTTAGCTCTCAATATTAATAATAATAATTACATTTTTAATTTTAGTCAAACATAATGGCAACACTTTGCAGAGAGCACATTTCATTAAGCACAAGCCGCTCGACTAGTCTGTTTATGACATGTTACAGTTCACAACATATATTTCACACACCCTTGGTTTACACAACACCTTGTCTGCTCAAAATAGTGTGTGCAGCTTTTTGTAGCACACAAACTTGCAAGGGAATTTGATACAGAGTTTGATGGCAGTCATTCAGCAACGAAAACACAGTTACAGTTGCTGCTTTCTCACTTCAAAAGCCATAATAAACACAATAAATAAATAAGTATATTTTTGTATAATCTAGTTGTACAAAGTTTGGAATATTTAAGGTGCTTATGCCTGCAGAGGCTGCATATATTTAATGAAAAATATTATTTATTATTAAAATGTTTATAATTTTCAAATTAATAAGGTCTATCAGTATTAATAATTTAAATAAAATGTAATGTAATAAGCCATGTGATTTCAGCAGGCCATAATAATAATTACAATTACAATTAAAATTATTATTATTATTGTTGTTGTTGTTATTAACAACAACAACAACAACAACAACAACAACAACAACAACAACAACAATAATAATAATAATAATAATAATAATAATAATAATAATAGTAATAAAATATAAGGAAACTTTGAGGTAACCATTTTAATCCAATATTTAATTTAATAAATATAAAAAATATATCAACAACAACAATACTAATAATACTACTAATACTACTACTAATATTAAATTTAATAAATATTTAAAAAATTATCAACAATAATAATAATAATAATAATAATAATAATAATAATAATAATAATAATAATAATTACATCCAATTATTAAGCAAAATCAATACAATATTATTTGAGCTCTTAATGATAAAAATGTTATTAAATAAAATAATCAATATCATTTGAACTCAATAGTATCAATATTATTAGAAAACAATACATTATATTAAACATCACATGCTATGAATGTTCAAAAATTGAGCAAACAAATAAACAAAAAATTGGTCAAATCTTTATTTATTCAAAAATCCCACATATATATGCAATCTTTAGATTAAAGACGACCTTAAAGATTTCCTAAAAATCTCAGTATATGTCAAAGACCAGACAAAAAACATAAAATCCAATACTACCAACCCAACTAAGGCTGATAATCTCTCATAAGCCTGCATAGATGTAGGTTTCTGACCCTTTTTGCCCTGTTCTGATGGAGCTGGTCAGCAGGAGGAAGCAGGTGCTGAGTGAATGAGGTTGGTATGTTTGCAAGGTATGAAGCGATTAGTGAAGTGATTGTGCACAGGAGCCTGTGGCTCCTAGCCATCCTCATAGAGGCCGATGATCGGGCCTGGAACGCCACACATTTGGCCAGTCACTCTCTAATTAGGGTCTAATTCAGAGCTTGTGCCCTTGCCTAATGAATCAGAGACAGAACAGGCTAGAAATGAGGAGGACACACATCCCAGCATCCCATCTGAGCTACTTGCCATCAAAGTGTATTAATGGCTGGCTTTTCAAGCTCTGCGCAGATGGCTTCGCGACTTTGTTTCAGTGTCGCATGATGCAACTTTGTTCGCTTAAGAGTAAAGAGGAAGTGTGCATGTGTGCGTGTTTGTGTGTGTGTGTGTTAAGGGCTTATGTATTTGTTGCAATGAAAAAAACAACCAGTATATGGACTGGATGTCCACCTTTTTCTCACACTTCATGATGCTTTATTGTGAACTGTGGGAGTTTTTTGTCAGGCTTCTCACAGTTCATCTACTGAATATTAAAAGGCAAGTTATTAGAATTCATAAATTGCTTTCAGCAGACCATAAATAACCACAAAAAAACTTGAGACAAGTCTTTTCACAGCAATAGTGTGGACCTGTTGAACATTTATTTTGCTAGCAGGCTTTGTTATTCTTTAGGTGAACAATTAATCAGTCCAAGTTAATCCACTATTTTGGTAATCCTC